CAAACGGACGGTTACCTGCAGCCACCCTGGAATGATTTAAGCTTCCAGTTATCCCAATCGGCGCTCAACCTCTCTCACGCAATCGCAGTTCAGGCCTGTATTTGTTCAGCCTCATCAAGTCCCTCACGGCTCTCTCCACCGTCATTCCTCTTATCTCGATAAGCGCTCACCACTGGCCACTCTCTTCCAGAACAGCAGGTTCTGCCTGCTTTGCCGTCACTACATTCAGTGTTGTTGTTTTTTTTTTTCCTTTTCCTGTCGTGCCAGCGGACCGGGGCTCTGGTGTTGGCGTTAAAAGGTTGTACCTGCCAGGCAGGTGGTAATTTATGCTCAAACTTGACGTGGGCGCAGTTCTCAGCAGACATAAGTCAGACAGGAAGCAGCGAAGGGCAGACAGGATGCACTATTTCAAGCTCCGTGAATGGTTATTTGACAGAAAAGATGAGATAAAAAAAGAAATGCATGAAGCTTCCTTTTGTTAGTGCTATTAGGTCCAGTAAAGGGTTTGGTTGAGTTGTCTGTGGTCTATTTACTGCAGCCGTTCCATTTGCAGTCAAACACTCGTTGGCAGAAATAGACTGACTTAAATGTACATGCTCTCCAAAAATACACACTTTGCTTGTTGTTTGCTGAACAAAACAGATTGTAGTCTTTCACAGTATATGTTTGGTAAAAAAAAAAAAACAGAGAATCTCAATTGTGCCAATGTATTTACCACAGAACAAAACACACTGAGTATTTGCATTCTCATGTAGTTTTTTTATAGAATTTTCTGGCTGATATTTGGGGCACATGTCATCAGAAGATGAAGGAAGACGTTCCAAATTATCTCTTGCCGTCCTGCCGTAAGTGGCCATTAATTATTTATTTTAGGCGTGAAATCGTTTACTATTTTAAAACGATGACGACATGGCTGCGACCTTTGACTCTGTTTTTAGCATCTGATGATTAGTGATTAGTGCAGCTGGCAGTACTAAAACACTGTTACTAAATGTAGCTCTGCACCTTGACCCTGAGATTTTGGATAAAGATCAAGCATTTCCAAATCTGTCATGTTTTATGGCTGGTAGAGAGTGTTACAATGTCTTAGTTTTTAAACACCCCACTCTCTCCTTCACTCAGTTACGTCCTACAACATGTGGTTTAAAAACGAAGTCAGTCACTACTCAGTTAAATCTGTCAAACTAAAAAAAAAAAGAAATCCTCCAATTATTGACACCAACTGGTTTCTCAGCAGATCTTCAGTAGATTTTGATCATCTCTGTGAAACACACAAGCTGAACGCGTATGAACCGTTCGGCGCCGTATCAATTTTGGATGTTGATCGGAAGCAAAAAGTGATATCTGAACTTGAAAATGGCAGCACCGTCTAAAGTCAAACCCCTTAATTTTCTTAAGACAACATCTGATGTTGTCTGCACTTTTTACTCTATAAGCACCAATGGTTTGATTACAAGTGCTGCAATACACACAATCTGTAGAGAAAATGCCTTTCAAAACATCTTCCAGTGACTGTTGTGTAAGCTGCCAGCAAAAACAGGAACAGCCGTTTCTAAACATCTCTGCATAATGTCATTATCATTAGCCAAAAGTCCCAAAGGGTCACTCTAAGATGGCCGTAATTGACATAATTTACAAAAGCAACACAAGTGCTGCCCTCCATCTTTGAATTCAAAGTTCTTGCATTTCTTGCTGATGTAATGACGGTCATTTAGATTATTTTAAAGTAAACTGATTCAAAACAATAATAAACTGAACGTCGACAAATGTAGCAACTAACTGACAAATGTAGCAACTAATAGGCGGCGAAATTACATTAGTAGCAGAGTTTCCCGAAGAGAGGACAAAAAATTAGATTGATTTGCATTTTAGTGAAATGTGACATAAGCATAAGAACGACGTGAGGTTTCCTGTCGCAGATAAGTAGATTTAGACTAGAGCTGCACATTACATTGAATTGAATCAGTCATAGCAAAATAAGTGCAATATTTTGTATTATATAATTTTGGTATAATTATTTAATTTCCCTTTGGGATCAGTGAAGCATTTTTGAATTTTAAGTGAATTGAATTTGGTGTGCCGATGCAGGTACATTTCAAATCTATTCAAATTCATTGAGAAGTTGTTTTTTCATTTAATTTCACAAAGTGAAGCATATTATGTAGTCAAGCCTATATTGCTGTTAATCTTGACAATTTTCTGCTTACAGCTAATTTCCTAACAGAGAAATAGTTCATTGTATATTTAATATCTGCTTAAAGGTTATTTCCACAACCTCAGAAGGAGACAAACGAGCCTCTTCAGAACACATCTTCAATTTACTGAGATGTTCATGTGTGTTTCAAGTGCCATGCATTCATACACTGGACTGCAACAGTCTGCTCCTCGCGTGAATAAGCAGTGATTGTAAAGATTTAGCTTCAAGATGCTGACCCGTCCATCTCTCCTTATTGTAAGTTGCTACAAATGAGCAAATGCAAACGATCGCCCATCAGAGAAAGCATGAAAATAAAAACAAAAGCACCTGTTCGCCACTGGTGCTCTCGTGAAAACTATCCCGAAGACGGGCTCCCGAGACACTTTATGCATCTTTCCCGAATGGTATTTTGCAAGATGAGAAATATGTCAGGGTTCATTCAGCCGTTTTCCCAGCTCAGAAACGATCTGCAGATACAGTACGCATTCTCTCAAACAATGGCCTCACGCTGGTATTTCCCCCGCTTGACGTCTCGGCGTTGGGAGGCCTTCGGGGGGCCGGAGCGCACCGCTTTCTCCTGGGACCCGGAGGGAACCGAGGCTTGCGTGAAAAGCTGTTTGGGGTCGGTTCCAGACCAGGGTCACCACGAGACTTGACTCTGTAAATGCACTGGAAGTTAAGTGACGGCGGTGTGTGTGCCACGGCTTTGTGAATGGAACATGGTCGCGTTTCAGGCCCTCAGTAAATACTTTGCAAGCTGTTTCCTCAGACTGAAACAAGCCTCTAGGTTCTTGGAACAACTCGAGTGAGACTGAAATATTATGTTCCCAAGGTGCATCACCTCAGCTTGACTGAGACGCCATCACTCATGACTGGCCGGTTCTGCACCGCTGCGGTATTGATTTAACCTTTAGGTAAGACAGTTGCACTTGTCCCCGTTGTTTTGCCACTGCTCAAATGTAGGCGATGGCTCCTGAGGCGTTTTAGTGAGCGTGTGTGTGTGTCGCCTTTCTCTCATTCACAGCCAAGCGAGTTTGGGTTGTGCTCTACTTAGCCGGCCATTGTCGGCCCTCATTAGCAGCTCACGCCCGCAGCCAGAGCTCATTAACCTCGGCAGGTTTTCACTGCTCCAACCAGCCAGAGGAGCTTTGGTGTCGGGCCGTAAATAAACGTCCGAACTTTTGAAGACTTGAAAAGGTTGCTTTTAAGAGTGATCACTCTGAGGGTGATGACCTCTCGCCATTGAGTGATGTGTCAAGTGTCACTTTTATGTCAGGAAGCTGCATTGTTTAATTCAAGTGAAGTTAATTGGTGATGCTTGTTCGTCTACACCGCAGGTCCTTCAGTATTTGACTCGGGCTTTGGTTCAAATATTCACTCCTTTAGGAATGAAAATCAAATGAAAACAGAGTTAATATTCATTGTATTTTTTATACTTAAAACAAATTGAATTACACAATTAACACACAGAACTAGACCTTGTGATGTGTTTTGTTTCTGTTCTTGCAGTAACATGCATGGTTTAAACTCTGACACTGACATTGAACAAAAACAATAATATGTACAAAAAGAGACATCATGATTGTTGTTGAGGTGGTCAAATATTCACATAATAATTCTTGTTTATACTACAATACAAGTAGAGATTCTTTTTCATTTTTCAATTTTGTGGCCAATACCTGTATTTTTTATGCTTGTCTTGCTGACAGAGATTGCATCACATTTTCACACATTAACCTTTTAATATTAGAGCCTGAGATGTTGTTAGGTATTTTCCTCGAACCTACAATAAAATAACCACAGACAACGTATATGAATTAAATATGGTCAGGCTTCTGCAGAAGGAGAAATCCCGATCAACAGCTCCTCCGAGCTGCTCAATAGAGAATTCTGATCTGCTTTCACGTGAGCTCCCTCTTTATTGTCAAAGAACATCAAACAACAGAGGTCGTAAAACATTTAACACAAACAGACCAACAACTCAGTTCCAGGTGTGATATCTAATTTACAATCTGAGCCCAGTTCAGCTCTGGGTCAAACTGTCACCTAAGACCGGGCAGATAAACACCAGAGAAGAAGATCTGAGAACCATAAAGTTTTACTATCTCGCATGAAGACAATCGTAACCTCCAAGTCAGCCCATACACACATAAGGAAGAGAACACTTTAACAAAATGATAATATCAAAAAATCTCTAACAGATGTTGTCACAATATGCATTTCTAAACTTCCATTATTGTTTGTGGAAAATATGAAAATAGGGGTATGTAGATCTATTTTCTAATGCTGAGATAAAAAAAAATAATAGTCCAAACATTCCCAAATCCACCATCCGTAGTGATAAAGGTTGGAAGCTCAAGCACATAAAGCATGTTTTCCCTTCTTGTTATTTGCTGAAGGTTTTGCTCTCACTCGCTCTCTCGCAGCCGAAATGAACTGCAGAAATGTATCGGCATTTCGGAGAAAATTGTTTGAATGGCCACTCAGATCTCGGGTTTTCTCAGTACTCACAATCTCACTGACCCTGAAAATAGCTAACTACTAAATCCTTTTTCCTCAGTACCAACTCCCACACTGAAGAGTGTTGTTGTCAGTTTAAACATGTTGTACATGTGGGTTCAATGATCAGGAAAATGAAGGATTTGGTCAACCCGTCATGTCCAGCTTTGATTAATCAGGGCTTTGTCTTTTGCGTATTTTGTTAAAACTCTTGGCATGTTTGCATGTGATGATAAAGCTGTTGTTATTGTACTAAAATGCATAAGATTTTAATTATTTTTTGTTGTTTGTTCTTTTGTCTTAGGCCATGGTTGCTTGTTATCCAGGGAATGGGGCTGGCTACGTCCGCCATGTTGATAACCCGAACGGCGATGGACGCTGCCTCACATGCATCTACTATCTTAACAAGAACTGGGACGTTAAGGTGCTTTGACTGTTCTCTTTTTTTAAATTGAAAAACTCAGTCGCTAGTTGTCAATTCCCTCTTTGCTCGGGTTTCTTAGCTAAAATGTGATCGATTCTAACATTTTTTTTTCTCACTTTATTGGAATCTTATATTCTCAACTTGCACATGTTCCCTGCAGACATGTGACTAATCTGTGCACATTCCAATTTGTAGACGCACGGAGGTTTGTTGCAGATCTACCCCGAGGGTAAAAACGTGGTGGCCAATATCGAGCCTTTGTTTGACCGGCTGCTCATCTTCTGGTCTGACCGCAGAAACCCACATGAAGTCAAGCCATCTCACGCCACTCGGTGAGTAGCAGCCTCTGGAACATGCGGTGCATCCTCACAAATAAATAAAAGAAAAGCCTGCTGGGTAAATACTAATTTCATTTTTTTTTTTTTAATTAATAAAAATAGAATGTGTAGCTCAGTTTTCTGTCGTTGACCCTCTGGGCTCCTCGGTTTTGCCAGTCGCCCTTCAATTGTTGAAGTTTCAATCTGTCAAAATGTGAAATAAACCTCCTAATTGTGTTGTGAGATTAGGATTAGCAACCGTTTACTTTGCGCTGATGCTGATATGCGATAGAACCGCTCCGCGCATAAACACGCCAGTGTCAACGGGGGCTTTATTTACATCGTTGCATAAATTTAGTTTTGTCCTCGGCGATCACGTGAAGCCTCCCCTTCCCCTTTCTTCTGCCGGTTCGACTGCTGAGGGGGCAGGGGGGGCGAGGTGGGGCCACAGGCAGGAAGTATATGTTTCCTGAGGAGGTCGGTGGGAGGGAGAGGAGAGGAAGGTTCGATGGCAGGACTCGTGCTGAAGAGGCACACACATGAGAGACAGGAATAAACAACAAAGCCCCACAGGAGAGATGAGAAACCTCGCGCTGCCTGAGACATCCTTTTCCCAGGATGGTCGCTCCAAAGTGGTTTGAGTTTGTTGTCTTTGTGATAATTGGTGAACTTTTTTAGCAACGTTCACAATGGGTTTATTTCTGTTTTATCACGTTTTGTTGTTGTTTTGGGGGGTTTGGCCTGTAGAAGACAGCGCTGAGATATGAAGCTCATGTCAAGGGAAATGGACAGAAAGGTTTCCAATGTGCTGAAAGTAAACTGTTTATCAAACACATCGTGTCTGGAGTTTTTCCAAAACATAATTTCACCAATATTTGAAACGAAAAGAAAATGACTAGAGTGTCGGCATTTCAGACTGTTTGTTCCGTCTTTTGTTGGTAATTCGCATGAATGGCATTACAAAGACAGCAACCTCCCAATGTACTTCTATTCTAGATTATATGGATCTGTACCTTAACTCTGAGGCTAACATTTTCATAATCGGCAGTGATTGACGGATGAAAAGGATGAAGCAGGCCTGATGATGTCTGCTGAAAATGTTGCTCTCTCTCGTTGCATGACTGAATCCTAATCATGTTGAAGGAAATAGTTCCTGGAAACACATTTTGCATGCATTTAAACAAAATGAAATCTACAATACTAGATGTCATTTTGACTTTCTATGACATGATGTTTCACTTCACTGCCCGATATTTCAATGACTCCCAATTCGAAATTTCAAATGAAAGGTCAAAGGGAATTTAAGTATTAATCAGGTACAATTTTCAATGCTCTTAGATGGTAATAATTTGCTTTAAATGGGTCGTGTTCTGAGTCGTGGTAGGATTAGCTCTTTTATAAAAATTTTGGTTTGATTCTACATAAATGATGCTGTGACTGCTGTCTATTATTGCAGGTTAGATACTAACTCCAGGACACTACCCCACACGACCCTCTTAATATACAATACGAAGCATACAATAATGAATTAGGCAAAAATAAATCAGCATGATGTTTTAATGTGAACTTGATGTGCTTTAGTATTTATTTATACATAGATCTATTTCGTAACCAGGTATGCCATCACAGTCTGGTACTTTGATGCCAAGGAGAGGTCGGAGGCTAAAGAGAAGTACAAACTGGGTAAGCTTCCTCATATCAGTTTGGCACAATATAACGTCGCTATTTCCTAATATTTCACTTTTTTATTTTTTATTCACAGCAACAGGACAGAAGGGCATTCAAGTGCCTGTCACTCAAAACAGCAGGTCATAAAATAGAAGAAGAAAAAAAAAACCTCTCCCGAGTGTCCAGAGAGCACTCTCAAAAGTATTATGTGCCTTCCTCTACTGCTAACGGACACCGCGGTCGCAAAGGGAGGCGCAGTGAAACCGTCAGCAAGAGTCCAGCTGTTTGGTCCGCAGGGTGAGGATCGGGCTGCCGATCGAACACCCGGCAGAAACAACAGGAACACAGAGGACTGGCCCGGACGGCAATGGCCGCTTCAGAAGATTTGAGGCTGGATGAAAAAAAACAACAACAAAGACTTTGACATCTCGAAGGCGTCGCCACTGCAAAACAAAATGACTGACTGTTGTTGTTTTTTTGTTGCAGGTCTGCTTCTTCAGTTATCAGAGATGTTTTAACATATCAATGAAAGAGTCCTAAGTTCCTTTATCTCACTTGTATGTGACGGTGGCCTCGTCTCTGGGCAGAGTGTGTGTGTGTGTGTAACACAAAACAAGGCCCGAGTATTGTCTTCAGACTCAGCATTTCAGCAGTTTTATTCTCATCAAGTGCATCTCAATCAATTAAAATAATTTGATTCAGAACGTGAACCCCATATTGCAGATTCCTTAACGTGTTTACTTCTCTCGGTGTGGACAAGGGCCACGTTCTGCTGGAAACATGAATGTGAATCTTTGCAAGATTTCCCAGCAGATGGAAGGGTGAAGCAGAGTACTTCCTTCTTGCTTTAAATTTGAAGAGTTTTGCTTCAGAGTCCTCTGCAGGCTGCAGTTGTTCCTGTTGCTTGTGAAACATTTTCCTTCCACTCAACTTTTTATTAATATGATGAATGAAAAGTTGCATACAGACTTACGAATGCCCTTAACTTCACAGTACTCTCAAGTCCACAGTTCTTCCTGATGCTTGTGCTAAATTGCTTCCACTCAACTTTATATGATTTGAAACAGCACAACTTCTTTTGCAGTCACTTTAAATAAAAAGTTACTGCTAAAGTCACTTTAAATAAAATGCGACTTTACTGTTTTTGCAGTGAGTGTCAACAACTGCTCGGTGAATAGCTACTGTCAAGTCAGCAGTTTGTCTTTTGTCCACCTGATTTTACCAAAGTTTTGCCTTCCACTCAATTTTCCAGAAATATGCAGTGAAAAGTGATGTTATAGTTCAATTTTCTGAGAAGCTGAATTGTAAGTTTTCTTTCATCACAATCACCTAAACGAACAGAAATACGGAAAATACTTGAAGATTTTACCATCTTGTGCAAGGAATCAGTATAAAATATCGCTTCTTGACTGGATTTACTGAAAGAAGAAAACTTTTCAACAAATTTTCTAATTAATTGAGATGCACCTGGAGAGCACAAACTTTTCCAGGTCGTTTTGCTTCTCGTAGCGTTGAATGAATTTTTCCATCCAGACTCAAAAACGCAGCTCGACATAACGCCCAGGAGTCCACGGCGGATGTATATCTCGGGGATTCGTCCGCGTCGATCTCTGCACACAGTTCACACCTGAGACAAGAGGCAGGCTGACCTGCTGACGGCACACGAGACGGCGAACAAGTCCGCTGCATGAGTTCATGTTGCCTTTCTATGTGTTCAGACCGAGACGGACCAGAGTGGAACTAATCTGCCCGAGAAAATTCCCCCCACAGAAAAAGGACAACATGGCAGCAGCTTCATGCAGCAAAGTATTTTTTTTTTTTTCATAATCTTATGACTGAAAATCTGTTGGTGTCTAAACTTAAGACAATTGGAGTTTAAAGCACAGATTAATTTTTACAACTAAACACCGTGGGTGAAATATTTCCCTGCTCAAATGTGGGATTGAGTATTTCTGAGTGTGTGTGTGTGTGACGATTTCCACTGCACCCGCAGAGTGGTCGCTGGAATTGTCTCTGTGTTTTCTTTTTGTTTTTTGGCTTGTTTTGTTGAACAGAAGGTTAAAAAAAATTAAAAGCACTTTATTGTTTAAATAAATGCCATGTGTGAATGATATAAATAGTGTAAAGATTTAGGTTAATGCCATTTAATGCTGTGGATGATGTGGTATTCGAATGCAATACAAACTTAAACAGTGAGTTCAAATAAATGTTTTGCCTTGTTTTGAAGTATTTAATGGAAAGTGTGATTCTTTTTTTTTTTTTTTCTACCCAAACTGTTGTTATTGATTTACTAGAAGAGGGAAATCGGTTTAAAAGCTTAATGTGCCTGTCTTATTAGACAATCAAATAAGCTGATTTATTTCAGATTCAATAATCATCTAAACTTGTCATAGCTACCAATACAGGTTACTGTAACACCTGTTTGTTATACCGATATCTTATCTATAGAGTTCGAATACTTGTAAAATTGATCTGGAAACATAAAGATTTTTAGTCTGTAAAATAATCTTTTAGAATAAATTATAAACTAATCAACAATTGACTGTATTGTACGGTTTTCGTACATAAAATAAGCCTTACGAATACATTTTAAAGCATAATGCAACTGTTGCATTGACATGCACCTCAAAAACGGGCCTTACAAAGACGGAACAGCACTAACTTTTTGATGTGGACTTATTTTCATAACTCCATAATTTAACATTTTTTATTGTATTATTTTTTGTAGATTTGTTCAAGTTCAGTCAGCAAATAACCAATGATGCTCTCTGAAGTCTGAGATTATGGACGAACTCTAGTCACCTCGAAAAATGTCAAGAACACAACAGCAGCTGACCCAAATATTTTACACTTGTGCCAGCGTCACGTTTGCTGGTATATTTAGTGTAAAAGTAATGTCTGGAGGTGCACTGACCTGCGATCCTTTTGTACAGCACATGCTGGGAAAGGAACGCATAAAACATTTCTGAGCCTTACTGATATAAAGGTAAAAAAAAATTTAAAATGTGGGGATTGGAGCGTTTGATATTTTATAGACTTTTTTTTCTTTCTATTGTTGGATCAATTGAGCTCAGACTGATAACATATTTACAAAATACAAAACTCATGTCAGAACATGAACAACCAAAGACGATGCTTAACATTTCCCTTAAATGAAGTCTCTTTTTTCTTGTTTTCTTGAGAACTCAGAGTCTGGTGGCACCACATCAATACGTGGAGGTTATATTTAGCGGCTGATAAAACACCTACCCCCATGACTCATAGGGTAAACGGTTACTAATAGCTTCACAGGAACGAATATGGATGTGATATTTTCGAGGTGGGTGCACCTGATGCAGCATTGCCTATCAAAGCTTCACTACATGTGGTCAAAAGTTTGCTTTTCCATTAGATTTCATCGGGAATATTTGACGGCGCAAATGTGGAAAAAAAAACCTATTCCGAACTCAAAGAAACTCCCCGCTCTCCTTTTCTAATTTTTCCTTAACAAAGCGATTCGCTGAAGCATTTCACACATGTTCATATGTCACAACCCAAAACCGTAAGTTGTTTTATCGAAAAGACTGATGGTTTTTAATTTTGTCTTTTGTTTTTTTACAAATATAAATTGGAAATGGGGCATGCTTTTGTGTTTGGCCCCATTTGCTTTTGGAATTCAAAGCAAATGCTGTTTTAAAAAAAAAACAACAAAAAAAAAAAACATCCAATTTACACTCATAGTCGGTTCAGTCCAATCAAATAAACCGATTCAAAGACAATCGATTCAAATTCTTCATGTGAAAGACCAGGCTTTGGTTAGACCCTGTTACGTAAAAAGATGTTCAAACCTTTGACTTTAAATTCTGCACTACTTTATGTCGCTTTAGGACATAAAACCCCAATGAAAGATTTAATGTTTGTGAGTTAAAGAGCGTCAAAATGTAGAAAATGATCTGAACACTCAGACCTGACCTCCAGAATGACCAGAGGTCAATCTTTTATGATTGCTACTTTGTGTTAAAAAAAAACAAAAAAAAAAAACAACACTGACTTTAATACTTAATCATGACCAAAAAGGAAATTGTAAAGGCCGTTTTTCTTTTCACCTGCCTGAATTGAAAATCTTTGCTCTATGATCTGTCCCCCACACACAACAAATCTACAATTTTACCATCTCAGTTTCTGACTAACTTTGGGCATTTAACCATCTCGTGTTACTGTTTACTTCCCTTGATGATTCTTTAAATATTTAAAACCACAGTCTGCTTTCAGCTCATTTTATTTGTCTTCACGCAGTCTGACGTTAACAGAAAAATAAAAAAAAAATGTAAAAACTCAGGATCCTAAAATGCCCAGCTCACTTTGTTTGGTGCAGACACAAAACAAATGCAGGCCACACTTGATGGTTCGTTTTCACATGCATCACTCTGCCCCGCTCTGTTTGCACCGTCATGTCATCGCAGCCCAGACATGACTCATCAAAACAAGCAGAAAACAATGTTCATGAACACTCAGTGACAAACACATCGTCTGGCCCTGCGTTGGCTGTTAAGCACACAGAAATCACAGAAATATTTCTAGTTCATTGAGTAAATGAGGAGTCAGGTTAAAAAGTAAAAAGTAAAAAAAAAAACCCAAAGAAACATACAAATCTGTACTTAAAATTACAAAAGAAATATGGAGGGAGCTGCATATGGCGATGTTTCAACATATGTAACTTTATGGTATTTTGCTTTGAGAGTACATGTTCTGCATGACACTAAATAAAAGTTTTGATGACATTTGTTGAAAAAGTGCAAAGGGCCAAACATCCCAGTTACTCCTAGTAAACCCTCAGAAAGAGCAGCTTTCTGAGATTTTGATGTCATAAAACACTTTCTCATGTGAAAGAGTCACAATATTCCTTCTAGCTGGAAGCAATTTAAACAACTTCGTGTGAAGCACAAGTTTATGGCGTTCATAAACCGCCATCTAGTGGGGCGATGTGTGGTTGCGCAACTTTGTGCAGCTCTAACCTCAATTTCCTTTCCTTTAATTTTACTTTCCAGTCGTATTCAAAGACCTACAAGGTTTTTTAAAGAACAGAATGAGATCTATAAGAGAGACGAAAACAAAACGTAGTTTTTGTTTTTAAAATCAATGCATAATTGTAAAGTTAAACAGACAAAAGTGATAACAAAAAATTTCTTGTGACATCTCGAAATGTGAAAAAACACTGTCAGTTTTACTATTGAGTTAATATTTGATTAATGTGAAAATGCATACTTTTCAACAAAGATTATTTCAACTGCAGTCAGTGGTTTCAATTTAAATAAAAACATCAAAATTTTCTTATCTGTGAAAGGAAAGAATGTCTACTCTTAACCAAAAACATGCTGTCATAGTTAAATACACGTTGGTTCACAACCATCCCATCACATTCACGATCTGCTTGTTTTAAATGCATGAATAAAAATCACTTTAAACATTTCGCATCTCCCGACAAATTTTCTAGAAGGCGAAAACACAACACGTTCCCGTTTTACCGTGGAGGTTGGAGGTCTTCTGGTGTTTTACGTCCGCCACTAAAACTGGTGACAACTAGAGGGCGGCACACAACATCAGACAAACAGGAAAGCATCAGCTTTCTCAAGGGGCATTTGCTCGCTTCATCAGGGTGACAGGCAGCCTGCAGTTGAGCGTATGCATGTATTTTGACAGTGTCACAATAACTCCCACACAAGTCCAATCTGACTTCAAATTAAAACACGTCTGTCCAGGAAATCCTCTGTGTCCTCACAATGAATGTCAACAGAACAAAGTCCCAGAGACATAAGCAAGACAAACCTGTTCAAGAAAGAAAGACAAAAAACACATGATATGTAAACAAATATGTGCACTCATGTAATGAAAGGACAGTCTGCACTTGCCTAAACTCCTGCAGCTCCACCACATCCATAACATCCTATTTTACCCACTCTAATATCGTTATTCATCTTGATTTTAACACGTTTTCTTACAGTTTCCATATGTGGTTGAAAAAAAAAAAGAAAAAAAAATATTTAACTTGCCATCTGGGGTTTGGATTTTATTTTTGGTGTCCGAACAAAATGATGCAATTTTTCACAGCCATTGCGCTCGCCATAAATAGTTTTGTTGCCTATGGTTCGTTCGGCAGGGCGTGTAAAGAAAGGTTGTTTGTTTAGCCAGCGTGTGTCCGTCACATCCGCCTAGGTCCTGTTAAGAAGGTTTTATATAATGGTTCCTCTGTGGCCGACTGTTTTCTTCAAGCCACTCTTTCCTCTGTCAAAATAAAAACAAATCTCCAAAATGTGCTCAGAGCACCACCACCAAACGTCTCAGTTAAAACGCAGGAAGGTTGAAGTGATTTTTGTTTTATTTAGATCCTCTTAACTTTTTTTTTTTTTTTTAACAAAGTTTCCTGGGTCAAATTCACAGCCATGAAGTTCTGCTCAAGTATCAGTGTTAAATGTTTCTTTTTCTTCTTTCTTCTTGTGTGTATTCCAGAAATGAAACGAGGCCGGGCTGTTGCATCAGAACATGTGAAGCGGACGACATGGCGCTTTCAAGTCACAAAGTTTGAACGTACCAAAGCCAATCAGCTAACAGTGAAAGTGGTTCCACACCTGCTTTCTAACGGAGGATTGCTGCAAAGCGTGTTTTCGTTGGCCTGTTTCATCTCTTGCCCTCTGGAAGTTACTTTTTTGGTTTTGACTTTTAGTTGGACAACAATTGGCTTAGTTGCTGATTAAGACATGATTCAATGTTATATCGTCGGTGCACAACTCTTCTATTTGAAGTAAACTCTTCATTGTGAACGAAGACCACTTTGCTTAAAGAGGGCTGGGAGGCAGAAAGAAAAGACAGATGCAACAAAAGTGCGTTGGAAAAAAGAACTGTGGTAAAACTGAAAACCAAAAAAACAAAATCGAAACGCTGAGAAGATAAACAGCAACCACCAGAGAGGCAGGAAGCTGTAAAACTGGGAGTGAAACCAAACAGGATGTACACCTAACAGGAAGTTTAAAAAAGAAGCATCTGCCCTGGGAGGAGCGACTACTGAAATGGGAATAGTAAAATTTCCTTTCCGCCCTCAATTGCTACTGGCGTTAAAACAAAGCGGAAGCAGTGGGGAACAGCAGCTTTCCAGCTGCCACAAAGTCCAAGGCTATACAAGTTGCATGTTCATAGGATGCTGAAGCAAGTATTACTCAGTGGTCATTAGGTCAAGAACTACAAATGTTTTTAAG